ACATAATTTTGATACAAAGAAAAAACTTTCCATGAAAAATAGTTCGCTAAGTTAGAACGAAATCTTTTGCCGAAAATATCATTGTAGGTTATCGACCACTAGGAGTTGAATGGTGAAGGTTTCATGACATAAAAAAGCTTTAGCTGACCCCTGAGAATCGATTCTAGGGTGTCCACATACTTTTGGTACGCACTGTATTCCCATTTAACCCATTGTACACCACAATTTTGACTTGCCCTTCCAAGCTAGATTTATCCACTTTCCTCTCGGCTTTCGTGGTATTCTGGAGCACATTGCGATTTAGGACTTGAGCTCCGCCTCCCACGGTGCATGCTCCACCCACCAATGAACTTTGACCTCCCTCATGCGTCAATTACTGTTCACTTTTTCCCAGTCGTTTGAGACCAGGTTATAAGTTTGGCAACAAACCCCGCACACTTTGGTGAACGGCACGCCTACCACTTACACTCAATCTCATCTCCTTCTCTCACTACACACTTTTTCCAGTCACCGTGAGTCTTGGAGCCGAGTTATGAGATTTTGTGGCAATTCCGCCCACCATGCCCCACACACCAACAGCAGGTGACCTCCTTCCCTTCGCCAACCTCTATCCATTTTTTCACGGTCAAAGACTTTTTGGAACCGAATTATGAGTGTGATAGCAAACTCCGCCCACTTTGGTACCTGTCCTATAAACCGATGGCAGTTGACCTTCATTCCTTCCCTGACCTCTATCTAGCTCTTTTCCACCCTCTAAGACTTCTCGGGACCGAATTATAAGGGCTTGAGCGAACGCTGTCCACTCCAGAACTCTCTCCGCCATTGTGGGTGCGACATGTAATTGCGCTGATAACCACCCTTAGCCATTTGCTGTCCACATCTGCCTAGGCTGCTCCTAATCGGGTTATTGGATTTTTTTTTATTCATTAGGTCAATGCGTTGTTTTTTAGGAAGCCGTCCGCTGTCCACTAAAGCATAAGTTCTTCCTGATCTCGATCTAGCTTATCATGCAACACGTGTTTTTTACCCATTTTCTGCCCCTGTCCCATAAACTGCGTTGGAGCTGAATTTGAAATTCTAGTCGTCAGTACGGCTAATGGTTAACGGAGCACTGCCCACAGTGGGCGTGGCTCCGCTTAGCTAATGTATGTTTTGTACTTCTCGAAGCATGGCACACCCATCCCCCACTTTATCCGGTCTCCTCAGGCGGATCTGCATGAAAGAGCAATTTTCGTGCAGCAGGTAACACGCGACAAAACGAACGTCTTCTGATGCAAGCAGGCAACGTAGTGTTGATAAATATAGGATGTATAAAACCCCGACAATATTTGGATCAGTAAGATACATAAAAAAAGGGGATGCCTATTTTACTGGAGGCCTTAGCTTGCTTGCTATAGTTAAAGGTACTCATAATCGTTGCTAACCAAAGAAAAACTGTCCCAAGATTGTTGGAAGGGGAACTAGGAGAGGGGAGCAGCGTGATAGGGTGCTATGTAGCGGAAGTCACCGTTGCTGAAGCGGCGGGCGTCAAGAAGTCACCCCGCGACGACGCTACGCTGCGCGGTGGTGTGTGATCGCCGTGAACCCACCGCCGATCACCGCCGGCCCGTGACCTCCTCTTCGTCAAAAAGCGCTCTGGAGTTGTGAGGATTAAATAAGTTGCTGGGAGTTGTGGTCTCGCTTCCATCGCCGTGTCGTCTGCTGCACCCAACCCAAAAACACTTCGGCGCAGAAACACAACGCTGATAGCATACATTATACGAAGTTATACGAAGTTCCATTGTTCGTTGTGATTTTTTAATAAATCGTTAGCGTTCACGGAGTGCTCTTTGTGGTAAGAAAGAATAGTCTTCGAATCCGATTGAGGGTACATCATACCTCACAAGCTATTATACATGGTGGGGCAAATTTATGAGCACCAATGACGCTCAGTCGTTGTGGATGGAACAAACAATTTTCGGGAAAGTGTTTGTAACTCTTATCTCGAAGTAGTTCCAGAATAGAATCGAGACCTGCCACCTGCCACCTTTACACGAGACTTCAGATGAAGGGGGATGGTGCGTGCGGTGGTACGCAACTGAGGCGCGTCAAAATGATAGCAGGCTTCTGCTTCTGCTTTCCCTCTTCAAGGCGTACAAAATTGTTGTGGGGTACTAATTTGCCCTTTTTTCTCTAGGCGTAAAGTGAAGAAATTAGAGCCATCAGGTTAAAGGTCCAATGTAACAATTCTTCGAAAGCAACGAACTCGAAAAATGGCTTTTAGAGAATTTTTGCTTTATTCTTATGTGCTCAGCCTGCGTGAAGGAGTCAGTTCCATAGTAAACCCACTCGCAGTGCGCCTCTCCTCTGCGGCACTCAAAGAAGACCGGGGTCTTCTCCAGAGTTCAGCGTAATTAATCTTTTTTTTTTCATTTAGTACGAAAGTCGACAAGGTGAGACCTAGTTTCTGAATCCGATAATTATCCCGATGGTAACTGTAATTTTCAAGTCGCTGAATTTTCCATCTGTGGTGGTTCCAAACAAACAAAAATAGAGTTGAACTGTTGCCATCAAAAAGCCTCGCCTGATAGTAAGTGTAGTGCCTCCACAACCAGTGGTAACGTCCCACGAGCGCTTCAGTGCGCTCTAATTTGAGGGCGGACGAACAAGCCAAGTTTGTGGTGAAGATGAATTATTTCCCTCACTAGTTTTGAAGAGGAGAGCGGTGGGCGGGGACATAAAATTTGGTTCCATTAGGAATAGAAGGCATTGTACGCTCTCATCATCACACGAAAAGGAGATGAAAATGTAGCGACTCGGAAAAAAGTGGATATGACTGCGCGCGCGCGCACGTGGTCCCCATAATTTTGGCTCACTCCGCGTAATTGACTCCCTGGGCAAAGAGATGCTGCCCTGCTGCAGCATAACTTTCTGTTCCACCAGGAGGTTTGTCCTGTGGCAAAATTTTGCTTGGCTATTAACTCCGTACTAAAAAAGCCGGGTAACTGTCGGATATGTTGCGTTAAGCACGGAAGAATTCGTTCTATAGTTGCAATCGCCACTCACAACAAAAAAGGGGTCGGTTCGCGGAGGGCGGACTAAAATTGAGGGGGAAGGAGATAGAAAAGGCGAAGTGCATCTTTGAGGAGCACGAACGATTCCCCGCTGCGACCGCAGGTCTAAATATCTAACTTTAGGTCGACCGGCGTCACTATAACTTTGTGAGTCGGCTCATTCGCACGACTATGTTCGCTTCGCGGTTTTCAATCTATCTCCACTGTGTCGAAACCGCAAAATCAGTCCTAGTTTCTAGTGGCGGCCTTCTCAATACTGTGGTAAGCACATTTGATTCTATTCATAACTGTGCATGCTGAAAGATTTTTACCATTGTTCAATATCCAGCTACCACCCTCATAACTTTGGTGCGCTCGCCATCCCTGCGCACACTCTCCCAAGTATCACTGCACAGCACATTTTCATAACTACGAGACCAAACGAGAAGTTTACATCATGAGCTGATTCCGCTCGTTTCTGCAAAATTTGAGTTAGAAGAGAGAAAATCGTGGGATACTCCCGTTGAGAGGGTATCCAAAGCTTTGAAAAAGTGAGAATCTATGGATGAAGCAAACAGGTGCGCTTTCTATGCTATGGTGTACAAGTTACAGCAGTTTGACCAAATACCCAATCGCAAGCAACTGCATCAAAAACTTGAAGTGGCAAGAAGCGCGAGTTTTTTTTTTACAACCTAGCACATTTTCTTTTTGCGTTACTCTAAATGCGCGCTGTACGACTCAATGAAACTTCATTTAATGTTGCGAAATTCGAGCCATGGATGCCATTTATGCTGTTAGATGTTACCGGATAAGCTCAGCATGCCGTGTAGAAGAGGAGGAGCGGCACAGTTGCCCTAACCCACAAGTCTTTCATCGTCAAGCTCGCCTAGAAAGACAAACGATCCACCTCCATTGTCTTACAAGTCTGAGCAGCCCAGATTGATTATCATCAATTTCCTTTCATGAAACAGTGCTGCAAAACATTGTGAGGTACACCTAAAAGTCTCGCATTGCAGCGTTAGAATGAACTATTCAGGATAGCCGATAGAATGAAAGAGGAGCCATCGACTTTCACAGGGCGCTGTTGCTGCTAACAACTCATGCTTCTTGCTAAGTCTGCAATTGCGACATATTCTTTTTGCAGGAAACAAAAGTGTTTATTTGTTGCGAGCATTGGAAGAGGTGAAAAAGAAAAACAAGAAAAGCAAAGGGGGTAGAAATCTACAACATTGTCCGAAGGGACTCCGATAGCAATGGTGTAGTAAAATCATCAAAAAAGCGTTTTTAGGCAACTTTGGCCAACGGTCTGCAAAACATTACACGCTTTATGGAATTATGCCTTTTATTCCACAACACAAACAAAACCATACGTCAAAATAACAGGACAACCTCTCTAATAAACAAATACCATTCGTAAATGAAACATTTTTTTAGAGGTTTTGTTCATTTTGCAACATAAACAAAAAACAAAGAGCACCAGCTCGCCGACGAATCGTTCACCACTTTCCGATTTCCCTATCGGAACTACAACGTAAACAAAAACATGGAGAAGTGACTCCAACTAAACAGTAAGCACATTAGGATTGAGAAGCAAGTTAGCGAAATTAGTAAACAGTTAGAGGTATTCTTTTTGGTGTCTTTCAGAGTCGTTTTCGATCAGTCGACATCCCGACCAGAGGAATTTTCAGTGCACTTTGGCCATATGAACAGTGTTAGTTTAACATAGTAAAAAATCATAGCCAGCGCGGACGCAACGTTCCTTATAACCGCAATTCAAGGGCACCACCCAGATTAAGATGAAATGAGGGTAACATAAAAAGGAGTATCTGTCGTGGAACGTGCGCTAATTGAGCAAGCCAGCGTCGAGAAATCGAATGGTCGATGGTGACAGGGCGACACTTCCTGAATTTTCAAGCATCGAGCACAACTGAGTTAGGTAGCAGCCATTTTTCGAGTCAAGTGTACTGTTTAGTGATCCTGAGCGCGCTGTTCTTTCTTGCTGACGCCACTGCGAGGTGTTTCGTTTGAAATGCGATTCTGGAAAAAAAACCCAGATTTAGTTACTTACGTAGCGTAGAAGACAGATATGAAGTAGTAATGACATGACCAGACTTACTTTGATCATTTTTTCGAGATCGAGGTAGGGCCTCCAACTGTTACAACGGTTCCTTTTAGCAGCTGGACAAGGGACTTCGCTACCACTACCAGAAGAAGTCGCTTTGTTTGAAGTACCAGCGCTGCTCCCACTCGAATATGGCTTGTTGATTAGTAGGCGAACAGGCGCACGTCTTGCCGCCACAATTATATCTCGTGGCGAATCTGAAACGAGTAAGCTCCCAGGATTACGAAGTATCTGAAGAACTACTTTGAAAACCAAAGGCAAGGCTCAGGATCAAATTGATGTGGAAATGCCACTCGAATTTGAAAGTATGGATGCGAAGTGGAGCGCTGGTGCATAAAAACGGTAAAGAAAGCATAAAAACACCGTGAATACGAACATTCCCTCTCTATAGTGTGGAGAAATGTAAGAGGCAGACAGTGAGATGAGAGATACCATGAGTCACGGAGAGGGATAAGAACTCTCGAGTCGAGAGGGCGTAGCAGGTCAACATTGCGACACAAACAATATAGCGAAACGGTAGGCGTGTCCTAACTCCCGGTTTCTTAGTGATGCGTTTCGGGACGTAAAAAGTGGCGCGACCACTGGCGGGCTTAGCGTCTCTATCCACGAGCGGGACCTTCTCAAGGAGCTGAGCACGACCCCTACCTTTGGAAATCGTATCACTAATAAGAATAATGAAAACGAACCGTTATTGCGCCGCAGGCGACTGGCGATTGGCTCACTCTCGGTCTTTTCAGTCATGCTATAGCGGCGTTTCTCTGCAGTCCCGCAAACGTTGATGAGCGGAAATTCACACTGCTCCTACACAAATCATAATTAACAGAGGTTTAGAATTTTTAATAATGGAAAGTAGACACTGTTCCAGTTCAAATTCTCCTTCAATCAACTAGTGTTTAACACAGGAGCAGATTTCTAATACTAACCCTCATGTCATTTTTCGAAGGCCCCAACCTCTAGAAAAATTTCGATATCAGAAGATTCACAAGAAGTGGGAATTCCCGAACTGTGACAGGAACACTAAAAGGGTGCAATAGCAAAGAAAACACGTGCCTCTAATGGTCATCTCCAGACCCGATCGATTATAATACAAGGGGAGGCTAGCTTAGGGATGACATCAAAAACTTCAATATCAGCTCTAGCAAAAAATATTGCAACTTCAACAGGAGGATCCCCAGACTACAGTCCAATTTAAAGAAGAATAGACTCACAGATTGTCTCCGCTGACCGACATGGCCCCCCGCGTGGGCTAAAGGGCGACACCACGCACATGCCGACTCATAACTCCGCTATTCCTGTCAGGTGAACTATGTTAGCAGAGAGAGCTAGCGTTGAAGGGGGCAGCACCACCTGAGGTGTTGCTTTGTGAAATCAACGGGCAAGGAAGGAGTCATATTTCTCAGGTTCCTTGCCGTTTCTCAAAGTTTTTCTTCATCCCAGCCCTTTGACCAGCTCTTCCTGAATTCCGAATCTAAAGGCTGCCTTCTGATCTAAACTCCGCCTTTCAAGTATTAGGTACCGGATATCTTAGTGTCGCTTTTCTGAGTTCAGGAAGTTTTGGGGCCGATTACTATGGAAAATCAATATCTCAGAAAGTCTTTTTGCTCATTAATACTGCGAAATTGTTTATTGTTTTCTATTGTTGGTTCACAATTTAACTTTCCCCCAATTTTTATACTTTTTTTTGAAAATTCCTGGGTCCAGTGTGCAAATTCGCATGTGTGTACCAAATGCTTCAAAATTCTTGCTGAGAGCTACAACTTCCGCCCACCAAACCAACATTGCATTTGTTGGAGGGAATACTACCATTTAAAATGCTCATCGGTTTTTCACAGTTTTCTCAAAAGACAGTGAAGTCTTTGAAGTGATGCCCGCAATCGTCGTCAAAAAGGTGGCCCTAGTTAAATCAGTCGAGACGGGGCTGCACCAGTCTTGTGCTGAAATGGTAGGACACCTTAGCAGTGACTGATCGATGATGCACAAACGCTTTAACGAAGTTGATTGCACAAGAATTTTAATAAATGTGCTCATAAATAGTTCGCTTTTTTTCCACCACAAACTTAGTGGTCACTAAAACCCAACATCAAACTCTACAACTAACACGCTTTTACACATCTACTCGAGTTTATACTATACCCCAATTCGTATAAGAAGAATTGTCTGCCTCTATCAAAATATCCTGTTCTTCTTCCATCTATGCTCAATGGTTTTTCAAAGTTTTGATAGCTGGAAATCACGAGGTCCCCGCCCGACCACCACCAAAATTGACTCAAACTCCCGACAACGATTAGCTCTAAAGTCTGCCCCTTGGCGACAAAAATCAATCTGATTGGGTACCCTCGGTAATTACTCAGACCTCATCTCGATCAATCTCACCATCCCTAGGTTGGCCAAAGGAAACGGTGCCCATGTTTTCCTTTTGCCGATGAATGTCAGCGAAACTCCAGACCCGAGATAAGTAACATCAGCATTTTCAAATTGAAATTCTTCCCCTGAAACGCTATTGTTTTATATCAACTGGTATATCTTTTGTGACGCAACTTCGTATCTGTGAGCACTTCTTCTGCTTTATTCGCTCATTTGTTTTGTTTTGATGTTTGTTAGGAATTAGCTCGAATTTTAGGGTTTAGGAGTAAGGTGCTTTGTCCACAAAAGTGACCGCATTTCTTTGAAAGAAATTATCCTTGAGGAGATGAGAAAACCAACCAGGCGTACATTCCTAACTTAGTCACGACTTGTTCTTTAAATTCTACCTATAGTGGTTTTCCAATTGGCTCCTCGAGCAATCAGTAAAAACAATTTCGTACCTTGATCTCTAGGTATGAAGCCCAAATCAACGTCCGAGTTCTGACCTCGGAAATGAAAATAAAACGAAACCGGTCTGGAAATGAAGATGCGACTTGTTGGTAAAACACCTAAATAGGTACTGTTAGAAGAGGTCATCATAAGTAAGATGGCCTCATATTCGATTGACTTTTTTCGCAAACCGGAAAGAGTCTACGAGGCTACAGTTGTGCGTTCTGGTCACAATCTCTTTCGCGGGACTCTTCATTCTTATGCATGCCACCCAAATCATGAAAACAACACTATTGGAACAACGAGATGGAAAGAACACATCATTTTGAAGAGCAGACAATTCATCTTTCACAATGGTATACAAGTAACTACGCCAAAGAGATCAAGGATTTAAATCATCACATTTCTTGTTGATCAAAAAAAGCGCACTACCTGCTATAGACAACCTAATTCTAATAAATGTGCTCATCTGCTACTCACGTGTGTGCTCAAAAAGGGTGCGTTTTTGACCCTATGTGGCAAAAAAGACTCCGGGAAAAATTGTCCAGTTGAGCTGGTAAGTTTAACTTTTCCACCATACAGTGCAGACCCTACTCTAACTAACTGTATACTTCTTTTGTCCAGGCCTAACTTTTTAGCAAGTGAGAGGGATGATTTGTCAGATGATGTCAAAACCGACCTACCTCTCTTTTTCGACTCAAAAAATTCCTAGCTTTAATCGTACGAGGTTTCCACTCATACTGGTAAATGGGAAAGTGCTAATGAGTCATTCGATGAATATGCTGTTTCACTCCCCGGATTCTGAATTAAAATATTGGTGGTCCGAAACTCGTGGTGAAAAAACGACACTAAGATATCCGGTACCTAATAGAACATTGCTGGGAAACTTAGTATCACTTCGCGTACCTTTGGAAATTTCATAGCTTTGAATGCACCACCATGCATACGTCGCCGCCTGAAAGAAAAGATAATCGTCAAATTGACAGACTGCATCAGACATCAGATTTGTAGCTGCAAAAATGAAAGTGGAACGATTGAGATAAAAGTGCTATGATGAGGTGCTGAACGGCCGAAAACCATGAGCACGTATTTCACGCGGCATTACGTGAATGCCTCCTAGGTAAGCGATTTCAGAAATAATGCAGAATTGTAGAACGTCCATGTACTTTCTTAGGTTATGTCAACCTTGGTTCTTCATTAATATTTGAACATTTATCAACAGTGTAAGATGCTCGCTGTGATCCCCTTTTCCTTTCCAAGGGCCCAGTCTCTAGCCGTTCTTATGCTTTGAATCGCTGCATAGAGACAGCGTCTCAAATTATCAACAACCATAACAACAACAAAAAACAAAACAAATCCTGAGAGAACACCCTGATGTAATGAATGACAGCGACAACTACGCTTGGAGGAATGGGTTGCTATAGAACGTCCGAAGGGTGCCAAAGAACCACTGCTGGCAGCGGTTTTCCAAAAAGGTGTCTGAGTTTGACACCAAGGAATGCAACTCGCCGTAATGTTTGTGGTTCCGAGTTCTTGGTTAGAAAAAAAACACACCACAACACTGCTCACACTCCTTCACCCTCACCCAAGCGTATGCCGAATATCACACAATTGATTCTCTTCACTCTCCTCCGTCGGTGACTAGCTGAGCAACGCATACACCTTGTGAGCTAGCTATTAAAGGGAGGTAAGCAAACCAGCCCTTTGGCGTTTCGGCTGGGACCGTATGCTGAATGTTGGGGAGGGGATGGGGTCCCCAACGGTCGACGGTTTACTTCAACTCGGTTGGTACGATAGGAGAGTACTGACGCAAGTGGTGCAGCTGGTCCAGCAGCTCCGCCAGAAGGGCTGGTTTGCTCACCCCAGGACTAAGCCTTGGAGAGGGGACGGACCCGTCCTCTCTTTAAGGCTTAGTTCTGAGGTAAGCACCAAATTGTGGCGGTTCTAAGGACCGAGTTGAAGTGGTCCGTCCACCGTCGGGGACTCCATCCCCTCCCCAACATTCAGCAGTCTTCTCATACAAAGAGCTTGGCGAAATGTATGAAGGATGCCAAAGAGCCGTAGGAGGAACCTCTGCTGGCAACGGTTTTCCAAAAAGGTGTCTGAGTTTGACACCAAGGAATGCGACTCGCCGTAATGTTTGTGGTTCCGAGTTCTTGGTTAGAAAGAAACACACCACAACACTGCTCACACTCCTTCACCCTCATCCAAGCGTATGCCGAATATCACACAATTGATTCTCTTCACATCTACCCTCCGTGGTGACCTGCGAGCACGCATACACCCTTTGTGAGCACAGCCTTCTTCTACAAAAAGCTTTTCGAAAAGCGCATTCCGCGTAGCACAGACAGGTAAATATGAAGCCCAAGCAAGAAAGTGTTGACGCTAAATAGTGTGTTTCATATGACTATCTCTATACTACGTAGCGCAGACGACGTCAACTGCACTACGTAGTATACTCATGTAATTTTGTCAAATACACATCCACTGAACTTTCCGTAAAGTTTCGTATTCGTATTTTTAAGAAAAGACCAGGTTTATGCATTTTGCGGCGATCGGCACGGTTCGTGGGCCTTTGCAGAGCATTCGGTATCACTCAACCAGAAGCGGCAGCACTGAGAAGATTATTCTGGAGTTCTGGTCGTATTTCCATAAACTATCTCATGGACTTCTTCGGCATGGGGTATCGTGCGCTTAAATACCAGTTAGGAACTGTGAAAGGAGCTAAAACAAGCAACCTGTGAAGCACGGAAGTAAATCGCTGTCTTTCAA